GGCGACCTGGCAGAACCGCAAGAAGTTGAGGTGGGCCCGTAATTACTTGTAGCTTGTATAAACAAGCTAGGGCAGCTACTGTCCATCTGATTGCCATACTGGGCAGGATTGCTCCCGGACCGATGATTCTGAGGGCGCTGTGCTGGACTCGGTCCAGTCGGCTGAGTTGGCTGGGTGACGTTACAATCCAGATAAGTGGGGCGTACTCCAGCAGGGGACGAACGAATGCCTTGTAAACTGGAAGGATCCGGTGCGGAAAGGTCCAAGAGGGGAAGGAACGTGCAACGAAGAAGAGCACGAGCTACGCCCCACGGCAACAAAGAATGCCGAAAGTTACTGGATAAAGAATAAAGTAGTTCCACGCGACGCACGTTTCGCCGTATATGTCATGACGGCTCAAAAGATGTGCGAACTCGAACTAGGATGGTGATCCAATCTAATTATGGTAAAAAGGGGAAAGACAAAACTTTAATGTTTCGTTGTATGACTAACTGTCCACCAACATAAACAGATCATATACAGTCAGGAAGTGCGACAAAATGGCAGAAAACTGACAAGGAGAAGTGAGACATTCAGCGACCTGACACGTAATTCCAACATGTCTCCAAGGTACAAACCAATAACCTTCCAACTCTGCAGGATGAGGCTCGGAAATGTCTCAGTACTCCTTGTCAGTTTTGTGCCATTTTGTCGCACTCGCTGACTGTATATGATCTGGTTATGTTGGTAGACAGGTATTCATCACTCTTAACATGTTGTCCTGCTCCTTATTTAACATAATTAAATTGGCTCACCATCCGAATTCAAAGATAGTAAATGTTAGGGATTTTGTAAGTTCAAACTTTAACCGCCAAGTTTTGTTCCACAGCAAAGGTCATGCAATCAGTCTGCAGGTGATCGCAGCACCGATCAGAAGTACTGGCTGATGGAAGAATAGTGAAAGGCTTTGTCATGAGCATCGGTACACGACACCACTGCATTGGGCAACATACCTATCAGCGGGATCGTACACAAAGGAGAGAGTATGGGCCAGAATGCTGTACTTGCGCACACCAGATAAGAGAGGGCGAACTCGGGATGGTACTTTAATAATAATAATGCTAATAAAAATAACAGCTCGCATGTACCCCATGGGGGGGGGATCACCCATGGGGCTAATGCCTCTGTCGGCAAAAAAGAGTTAGAGAAAACGAGAAATACATGACATACACATCTTCGCTATTCTGTTATTGCAGGAAAAACTACATCGATTCCACCATGAGCCTAGGCATGGGGAATAATTATAATATTAAGTACAGAATGTTATTTATAATAGCAATAAAAAGAACAAATTCTGCAGTCATCGCCACACTACAACGAAGTCATGAAAGTTTACCAGAATTAATTTTCTTGTCACATTCATCAGTGGAAAGTCGTGACTGAAGAGTAACCATGCTGAACAATGATTAAATATACATTCAATGATGTGTTACGAGAACAAAATACAGTGCCAAAATAGAATGAGGGAAGGTGAGACAATAGAAGTGAAGTGAGAGCTAAGTGCAACGGTGGGTGAAAAACTAATAATTATAACGCTAAAACTGTGTAGTGAGACAAACAATCATGCTGTGCACCTACGAAAACAATTTTAACGCAACTACATGTTTCTTCTGCTTACAAAGATCAGGCTTATGCAAACGAATACAAACAGCCTCAAGTACTTTCAACTGACTAGCATACCGTGCACGACAAAGAACAGAAAAACTAAAATCATCATACACCTGCAGACACTTAGGGTGAGACAACAAGTGAAGAAAAACGGCAGACTTCTTACGATCACAATCACCATCTGATTCCTCGTCTCCAACAACCGCAGCCTCGTCCTCCGTCTCATCTCCCAACTCGTCCTCAGTGTCGTCCTCAGTGTCATTCTCCTCAACAACACTGATCGGTCCCAGGCTCGTTTGACGTTGTTTAACCTCTGTTCGTTGACTCCTCCTTTGATCTTGATGGCAACTTGTTGTTGTTGTTGTTAAATCTTGTGTTCCCAGTGTCCTCACCGATGCTTGATCTCCAGTACTGTAATAATTCATTGAATAATTAGCCGTTGATCGTCTAGGTCTTTGAATGTTGATCGTGTTACTTTCTTTGTTGAATTCCGTTCCCTTCAGCCTTCTTTCTCGTTGTTCACAATCAGTGCTTGCCTCATCCATATATGCACGTGCCACCGACACCACAGACTCAGCCCCAGTACCGCCGATGATAGATGAAGGTGGCGGTTCTGGGGGAGGCAACGGCAAAGACGGCGATGAGGGCATTACCTCATCACAGCGTCCACTTTGGTCTTGAGCCGAATGTTATTGTGGTGTGTTATCTTGTGTTGTTATGGTGCATTGTGTTGTGGTGACAATATGCCCATTACCCGACTCCAAGGCTCTCGATACGGGTAATGGAGGCACTATTGCCGATGACGGAAATTGTGCTAACGATGGCTGTGCCCGAGGGTTCTTCAGTGGCCTGCCGCGTTTCGGTCGCAGTGCCCGTGCCGAGCCAGTCAGCATATGCAGTGGGACCTGCTGCTTGATACGTGCGTTCAGATGTTGAAGAGTCCTACCAACGTACCGACTACCGCATTGTCGGCACTCAAATTGGTATACCAATTTAGATGCAAGTTGGGTTGGTAGGACATCCTTCCTCACCGTGAACGCACCACAACACAATGCACCATAACAACACAAGATAACACACCACAACAACATTCGGCGAATGTCTCAGTACTCTGTCAGTTTTGTGCGTAGTTGTTGCACTTTCTGACTGTATATAGTATCTAGTTACAGTGGTGGAGAGTTACTCTTAACTCGTTTCCATAATTATGTCCTTTTCCTTTCCACTTCTATTATTGGCTCAATACCCGAGTTTCAAATATTTGAGTGAGCGCAGATATTTTAGGCATGATGAGTTCGTACATTGATTCACAATGCCGAGCCAAGCTTCCCTGTCTTGAGAGATAGCTTCCGCTTCGGCAATGGAAACGTTTATTGTCTTTAAGTCATTCTTGATGTTGTCGATCCAACTAGTTACGGGGCGTCCTCTGGGCTTCTTGATGTCTTTGGTGTCACGTGAAAGTCTTAGAGCTTTGTAGGATGATGAGTTACTGCCTTCTCTGATTACTTGGCCGAACCATAACAAGCGCCGTTCCCTGCATCTTCTGGTGATAGGCAATTGGCTGGACAGCTTGTATAAGTTTTTATTCAATATTATTTGGGGATACACTACGCCAAAAATGGATCATAGTAGCTAGTTTGCGGCGATGCCACGTATCGATTCTGTTGCCGAGTGCTACTGTCAAGGTTCACAGGCCACAGTTGTATAATAGAACCGGAAGGATAAGTGTGGTAAACAAAGGCAATCTAGATAATATAGTGTGTCTTTTCCAGGCTATAGTGCCAAACGCTCGATTAGCCGCATTGATACGGTTCTCGATCTCACTTCCAGATCCCAAGAGACTTCCAAGTAGTTTCGTCTTTCTCCATGCGTCATCATCCTTGGAAGGAGTTACAAATTGAGTTTTTGTTAGATTTAATCTCAGGTCATCCTGGGCGAAAATTGGCTCACATTTCGCTGCAGCGGCAACCACAGCATCACGATCAGTGTCATATATTGTGGTGTCATCTGCATACTGTGAGAAATGAGTAGGCAGGCATGAATGGGAGGTGCAGGCTTCTCACATCTGCCTCATCGCACCTTCTGCGTAGACAATGAACATGGCCGGAGACATCGGGTCTCTCTGAACCACGCCGATTTTGGTCGAGAAGGGAGCACTGAGCTGCCGGGCAATCTTCACCCTAGCTGACGTATCGGAGACTAGCAATTTCATCATTGAGGTGGGTACACCCGAAGCGGCCATTCGATCAAGCGCCTTGCCATGGTTCACTGTGTCGAATGCACCGCTGAAATCTAGTAATGCTGCCGAATAGTTCCAATTTCCTAGCAAAGCTCTCTCACACAGAGACCACAAACAGAAAACCCCATTAGCCGTTGAGCGACCAGGTCTGAAACCGGCTTGTGACTCGTCCACAAATTGCTGAATATTGGTGCTAATTCTCTTTGTGATTATGGTTGTAAGGACTTTCCGAACCACTGACAATAGCATTACTGGTCTGTAAATCTTTGGGGCTCCTTTCGGTTTGCCATTTTTATATATTGGCACAATAATTCCAGTGGTCATGTCGGCTGGGCAGTGCTGTAATTGGCGAATGACATTGAAAAAGGAGGACAGCCAACCAGCTAGAATGTCAGAACCTGATACTTTAGAAACAACTAATGGTACTTGCAGATGACGGTCGCAGTGATACGCTTAGTTAGCCATGGAAGCAAAGACCCATTGAAGAGGTAGCCAGTGATCTTGTAAAACCGGCAACAGCGTGACACCTTTTCAGATGTTAAATCAGTATCTACTGCTACTGCAAGGACTACGCTGCGAGAGTTAATAGTGCGTAGCAACGCAGAAAGATTCAGCAGGTCTATTACCACTAGAGCATTTGGCAAAAGCCAAACCTGGTACTCAGCTAATTGTTTCATGATGCTAATAATGATGCTCTGCATGACTTTAGATTTGAACCTTCATGTGCAGTGCAAATCCGTCCTGCTTTGTGGGATCCTGAATCTAAGCCCATGATGAACAACTTTGAATCGCCCAATTTCCGTTATAAGAAGTAGGATACTTTTTCAACTGCATTGATACACGATATTGGAATGGTTCGAGCTATGTATTTGTGGCATTGAGATACCGATGATGGCACTTGCCTGTGACTGGAATATACAATCATGTATATGTACATGTGCGCAGGACTTGAGCGGATCGGTCACCGGTAAAGGGCGAATGAGCAGAATACTCGCATTGCCATGCTTAGGCTACAAATTCAGCAACCTGAACCTGCTGAAGTGCCAGCCACGCTGAAACTGCTATATAAATCGTCTACATGCTTTAAGTCAGGCAGAAAGTGAGGCTACACCTGGTATAGCACTGTCTTCGCCTATTCATAATGTTAACAGTTTCGAAGAAGGTTGCCAATCTCGCCCTCTCCAAACCTACTTTGAAGCAAAGCAAAATAGCAACCGTCCTTCCTATCTCTCCACAGGGGCTTGAGAGGGTGCAAATGAGATAAATATTATTTTAAATGTAAGTCTGCTGATGGGGCACGTGGAACCACTGCAGGTGATAATGTTGTTGTTGACAGTGGCAGCAGTGATGTTGTCCGTGAACACGAAGATGACTCTGGGCAGGAGCATTGAAGGCGAAAAAAGGGAGCCGGCTACTAATGCCACAGGCAAGTGACTTTTCCTCTTTGAAGCCTTTTGAAACCAGATATCACTTTGCAGTACTGTACCCACGCGATTAGGTCTCCGGGGAGCTAATTTTTCAAATTCCATCAATAACGGGGCACTATGAAAGAGAGGGCATTATTCAAGAGAGGGTAGCATTATTATAATACTATTTTCCAATTCTGGTACGTTCACGTCATCCAGCATAAAATTAAAAAAGGCAAATAGAAACAAAGTGCAGGTAGAGATCGGCTATATAATTATAACAATAAACAAATTACAAAATGAAGCTATTGTGTCCGTCACCGAAAGGAACTTACGACGGCCGCTAGCACCCCGTAAACCTGAGCGGAAGATGCAGCGCCTAACGGTGGGGGTGAGGAGATAAATCTCACAACCACTGGCACAAGTGCCAAGAAAGACCCCATTAGCCGCATCCATGTACCCCTTGTGCCTGGCCACAAGTTCCCAGTTGACTGTGGGTAGCAGCACGGCTGGAAAAACCGCTCCCAGGCAGTACTCTGATTTTTCACGTTATTTCTGCATTGATAGTCATAGGCTGTGTTTACATGAGGCGTTTCAACCCGGGTTGAGTTCGACCCGGGTCAGATTTCAACCCGCCATGTGCACAAAGTGAATGGCGCGTTTACATGAGGCATTGCGCTTGACCCGGGTTGAAATTTTGCCCCGGGTTGATTTCAACCCTCCCCCCAAGGGGAGGGTTGAAACCAACCCGGGTCAAGAAAATCGTACAAACGTACTTTTGTGCGTATCTCGCGCCAGGTTTGAACAGCACTGCAGATGCAAATTTCGCGCGAACGGATTCACGTGACCATGCAGGACTGTAGAAGTGGACTTTTGGCGGCATATCAGTATTTGACCCGGGTCAACTGTCTTCATGTAAACGCTCACCTCTTTTGTTTGTCGTACAGACTTTCAACCCGGGCTGAACTCGACCCGGGTTGAAATATCTCGTGTAAACACAGCCATAGTGATTGATTTTCCGCGCCGAATTTCCAACGCTGCATGCATGTACAATGCGCGTCAACAGTATTTCACACTTTCCTTTTCTCGCGTTATCACCTCAGCTTTTCCAGTTTTGTATGTGGAAACCCCCCTATTATAATAGCAGTTTTGTCTATATTTTTAATCATTCAACATCTACCTTCAATGATGAGCTATGTATTAGCGAAACAGCTGTCTGGAGGAATTATCAATATCGTCTACGGAAGTGTCCTCGCAGTGGTGATGGTTGTGTGAAGTCGGCTAAAGAGCGCAGTGTAATGGTGGAGGTGACTCAACATTTTCTTTAATGGCCGAGAGCTCTGTCGCACCCTGTAATAAAATAATAAAAATAATAATAATCTTCAATAGTTTGAGGGAAAGAGACAAACTAGAAAAGTCTGAAGAAAAAATTGACTGTCACCACCAGGACTCGAACCAGGGACCCTCGCTTGTAGCTAGCGATGCTCTTACCACTGAGCTACGGTGTAGTCGTCATCCCAGCAGAGACTGTTCAACATTTTCTTCAGACTTCGTAACTCACACTTCCTGTGAATCCACACAGGCGGGTGGGACGCAGCCCTCATTGTACCCACACACTTCACGTACACTCTAGCACGCGGGGAGCCCCAAGTCATAACATCTTCACTAGTTTGAGGGAAAGAGACAAACGGGAAAATAATAATAATGATATTAATGTAACTCGGATGGTGAGCCAATTAAATAATTGTGAACATAACTAGTCCATCATACATGATAGTAGAGTTCAGTAGGATGTTGACGTTTCGGTTTGTCACAATTCGTCTTCGCTTAACTTCCCCTTTCTATGTTTATTACATAAACTTGAGCCTCCCAAGTATGGTGGTCTTTTGCTTTGCGTCGTCGCGTTGTCGTAAGGCCGGTATGTCCAATAGTAGGGGTGAAAGGATTATGTCGATTAATTAGTCGAAAAAATCTAGTCGATTACGATTTTTCTAGTCGCTACAGCATTTTCGTACGACATACTATACGGTACAACGAAATATCCGGCAGGTGCAGTGTGTCTACATGACTCTACTGCGTGCAGCACATGTACCAGAGTACGAGTCGATGCGCGCGTGCACGGAGGTGTCAATCAACGCGTGCAGCACGCACAGCGAGTTGCTCATGCTCTGGATACACACTACATGCGTACCCCGTAGATCTACCTGATGTACTTTAGATCTATTGTGTGTAAATTGTGTGACACGCGGCTCTTTTCTCTGCACCGCGCACTGATTCGTACCCGCGAACTTCCGTTCCGGTTGCTTCACGGAACTCACTGTGCTGGACAAGTAGCTTTCAGAATCAGTTTGTGCCTGCGCGACGGTCGATGTTTCCATTATTTTTGTTCTCTTTGAAGTTTCAAAATTGATTGTAGTTGATGCAAAATGGTGAGTTTTGTCGTCAGTGGTGCTTAATCGATATAATCGATAAGTATTCGATAAGTTTTCGATTAACCGTTAAGGAATATCCCTTGATCGTTTCACCCCTATCCAATAGTCTTACTAGTTTCGTCATCATGCAGTAACTTTCGGCATTCTTTGTTGCCGTGATGCGTAGCTCATGCTCTTCTTCGTTGCGCTTTCCTTCCCCTCTTGGACCTTTCCGAACCTGAGCCTTCCAAGTTGGAAGGTTGTTGGTTTGCGCCTTGGAGAAGTTTTGGAGCTAGGTGTCCGGTCGCCGAATGTCACAGTACTCCTGGTCAGTTTTGTTCCATTTTGTCGCACTCGCTGACTGTATAAGATCTGGTTACGTTGGTGGACAGTTACTCATAACTTGTAACATTTTGTCAATATTCTGGGGCCTCCCAGCGTGTCAGCGGCAGTGGGTGATGGGCAGATAACAAGGTAGCTTGCGGACAACATCGGTGGCATGAAGCCTAGTAACTGCCAGGCGTCTTGGTGCGACTGGCGAGCAGTACAGTGTCATGCCCCAGGGGGTGCTGTGGCTGTCGACGTCGGCGGGTCGTGAGGTGCGTTTGCAGGCCTTCATGGCGCTCGGACAACTGCAATACTAGTACACAGACTCTCACTAGCTACATAGTACTCTGATTCTGGCACGGTATTTCTGCATTGAATAGTGATTGATTTTCCGCGCCGAATTTCCAACGCTGCATGCATGTCCAATGCGCGTCAACAGTACTTCACACTTTCCTTTTCCCGCGTTATCACCCCAGCTATGCCCGTTTTGTATGTGGAAACCTCCTATATAATAGTAGTGTGGTCTATATTTATAATCATTCAACATCTACCTTCACTTATGAGCTATGTATTAGCGAAACAGCTGTCTGAAGGAGTTTATCCATATCGTCTACGGAAGTGTCCTCGCAATGGTGATGGTTGTGTGCAGGAGGGTCTAGTCGGCTAAAGAGCGCAGTGTAATGGTGAAGGTGACTCAACGTAATCTTTTTAATAATAATAATAATAATAATAAGCTCCGTGAAGCTCCTGTGGGAGTTCAATATCTCAACGGATACGCAAGTGCGCCATAACCGTCCAGACCTGGTTTTGCGGTCCAGCACGCAGGTGGTGCTGATGGATGTCAGTGTTCCCTTGGACCATAATGTTCCTACGAAAATCGCCGAAAAAATAACAAAGTATGCTCCCCTATGCCAAGAGCTTCGGCGCATCTGGCATGTGGATGATGTTCGCGTTGTGCCCCTGGTTATTGGGGCGCTTGGTGGACTGACTGGTGTGTCCCTGTCACACTCTGTGTTTGCATTGGCAAGCATTGAAAGGGCTCAGCAATGTGCTATCCTGGGCACGCTGAACATCATAAAGAAGAAGAATGTGTTGTCTTTGCAGTTGTTCGGCACTGTTCGTCGTGAAGGTGTGAATTAGATCCCATGATCTCTTGATATTTTCTCTCTTTTTCTTTTCACTACGTTTTTGTCACTTATTGGATTTGCATGCTGTTTTCTTGACTCTTCACTTCTATTTTTTTCGTGTCACTTCTATACATAATTGAAGTGATGTATCTACGAACTTCTTTTCTTTATAGTTGTAGTCTTTTAGCTTATTTCCATCATTCCCTGTAGTATTTTGAGAAGAAGGGAACCAAAATGTTCAATACTTTGATACATGTCCGAATTGGCTGGTTGTAATTCTTGCGCAGATGCATGCGTGGATAATACATGTTTTGTAATATTTTCTGCCTCCGTCCTAGATTCAAATAATAATAATAATAATAATAATAATAATTAAAAATTCGACGAGGAGACCAACAACCATGGCTGCAACAACAACACCAGCTGCACATCCAACAACAACACCAGGTTCACATCCAACAACAACAACAACTAATCCACAAAACAAAGCAGCAAATGACAGACCACGGAGATCTACAGCAGATTACAACCGGACCTATGAATTCACGGTAAAAATACAAAGGAAACAATCGGAAAGGACGACGACTGACGTGAAGGCAACGGCATTCAGGGTTGGCGTGGGTGGTGAAGGTGAGACGCAGGACGATGCAAGTGAGGAGGAGAGTCAAACCGCGGTGGATGATGGAGCAGGTTCTGATTCGGACAGTGAGGGAGAAGGTGAGCTGAGTGAGGGTGAGAGTGAGTGTGAGGGTGTGCGCGTGAGTCGAGATTGTGTGCGTCCGTCTCGTAATAACAAGTCTTCAGTATACAATCATTTGGTTTCTAGTACTGACTGTTGTCGTACTTATTCTGATTCCTGTTTTTCTGTTTTGTGCCGTGCTCGTCATGGTTATCTTTTGCAGTTACAAGTTTTGGAAGCTGTTTGTCAGCGCATTCATAAGCCGAATTTGTGTGTCCAGAAAGATAGTGTTATTACCCTAAAATTGTTCAAATAATGTTTTGTTGTGTAGTGTGGCAACGTTGTTGCCACTTGTGCCTAAATGTGTTTTGTCACCTTCTTGTTTATTATTGTTATTATTATCATTCGTTCTCACTTTTTTGTTTTTGTTGCTGATACACACTTGTCACGCTTAGTTCTTACTTGTATACCCTTGTTTTCTGCACACTTTTGTGAGAAATCGCACCTCGATATTCTAGTGCTGTCATTGTATCGTGTCACCCTACCTTGATTGCTATATTATTTCCTTTGTTCTCATTTTGTTCTTTAGTACAACGGTGATTCCTGAAGAGTGTTGTACGAAAACTTGTTCGAATCATCTTTTTTTTCCATTGCCCCTTTTTCTTCTTACATGTATTTTTCCTTACCCTTTAGGTTGTTTCTTGCATCGTCTCCATCGCTTACATTGTTAATAAAGTAGTCCACATGTCGCTTCAGCTCGTCCTACTTATTGCCATATTAAAATAATAATAATAATAATAATAATAACTACACCATAGCTCAGTGGTTAGAGCATCACTAGCTACAAGCGAGGTTCCCTGGTTCGAGTCCTGGTCGTGGCAGTCAATTTTTTCTTAAAGATTTTTCCCGTTTGTCTCTTTCCCTCAAACTAGTGAAAATAATAATAATCTACGTGGAGATAATAATTTTAATATAGCTATGAATAGGATGAAGGCCGCAGACATCACGCAACTACGTTACTTGTTCGACATGTATTTACTGTGTATTTTATAACAAAAATATTATTGAAAACCCATAATCGATTTTCTTGTTCCTATCATCAGTGGGAAAAATACGGAACTAAGGATACAACCAAAGAAACTGAAGTTATGTACTGTAAATAGAAATGTGTTAGAAATAACAACAAAATACAAGTGCAATAAAACCACTAGAGGAAACGCAAAAAGGTAACAAGATTACGTAACCAAAGGCGAGAAGGCGCTAAACGAAGTGTCAACCTACGAATACAACTTCAGTGCAACAACGTGTTCCTTCTGCTTACACAAAACAGGCTTATGAATACGTATACAGACTGCCTCAAGGACTTTCAACTGTTGAACATAACGCGCACGACACAGTACAGAAAAATGAGAGTCATCATACACACTAAGACAGTCAGGACGAGATAACAAGTGTAGATACACAGCTGACTTCTTACGATCAACACATTCATCTGCCTCATCTCGCTCCTTCCCACCCGACTCCTCCTCGTCCATCTCATCATCCTCTTCCTCGTTCCGCTCGTCATCCTCACGATCATCATCACTACCATCCTCTGCCTCGTCCTCTGTCCCCTCACCAACCGTTTCGTCATCCAATTGCTCTTCTTGCTCTTCTATCCTCTGATCACCTGTCTCATCCTCCGTTTCTGTACAGACCACTTGTCTCCCATTTGCTAGCTGCTCGTCCCGTGAGCGGAGTTGTTCCTCCAGCTCCGCTTCACTCATTTTACTCATGATCCTGCTCGACCTTCTTTCTGTTGGTATTGTCCACAACGCGCGGTCCTTGGCCGTTTCTGGCATAAATATCTGTGGAGTAGTTTGCTGTTGCCCTCCGAGGTCTCTGGATTAATGTGGGAGCCGTGGCAATTCGTGTGAGAGTTGGTGATGCCAGCGCGGGTGTAGGTGGGTCCACTGCAGCCCCCGCCACAAGAAGAGCCGGTGGCGGTTCTGGTGGTGGCAAGGGCAACGGTGGTGCTGCTGGAGTTGGTAATAATAATAAAAATAATTAGACGCTACATGCCACGTACTGCTCTTTTCTCTCCGAAACTCAACACTTGCAAGCCAGATATGGATTGATCGAAGAAGGATAGATTTACCATCACCGTTGATAAGAGTCGTCCGACCCCGCGGACGACCACGTCTGAAATGGATCGACGTTGTCAAGAAAGACTTACAATGCATTAATCTCTCGCTTCTGGATGCTGTGAAATCTGCTTCTGATAGAGCTGCTTGGCTCGAAAATGTCAACAGATGCATTGACCTCATGCAATGAGTGATATGCGAACTGTGCCCGTCGCCAGTACCTGCTTAGTGTGATTCATCCCGACTTTGAGTATTGTTTCCCTGTTTACGCATCTTACCTCTCAGCACAATCCAGGGAGAGATTGTTTACCTTGTTCCGTAGAGCTGTACGAGTTACCTGCGGTGCTTCATATCATGCTGCTGTACCACCCCTTCTTGCTTCTCTTCAAATAAAACACCTTGAATACCGATACATTAAATTTTATCAATTTCTTACGTTTACGTTTATTTGTCATATTGTTCAGCCTGCATCATGCTTACGCAGTCTTTTCCCTTTGCCCACCTCTAAGCGGTCAACTCGTGGAACTACAACAAACAATATGTCAATTTGCTTGTATAAATCCATGGTAGGGTACAATTCCTTTTCCTCCAGAGCATCCCTTATGTGGAATGCCCTCCCTGCTCACTTGAAAGGAAGTGAGGACATTAGATCATTTTCTACAGAACTTTTGCACGCTCTAAATGACGACAAATTGACTATATCCCTATATCCCCTCCTTTTTGAAAATGTATTTCACCAATAATATAAGGCTTGGAATTTGTTAAACATGAATATCGACGGACTTGCCCCTTCTGTTCATGCATTGACCTGCTCTAGTAATGGTTCATGAATCCGCCCAGTCCACATTCCTTCTCCGCTTCTCTCTAGTAATGGTTCATGAATCGAAGTGAGGACATTAGATCATTTTCTACAGAACTTTTGCACGCTCTAAATGACGACAAATTGACTATATCCCTACATCCCCTCCTTTTTGAAAATGTATTTCACCAATAATATAAGGCTTGGAATTTTTTAAACATGAATATCGACGGACTTGCCCCTTCTGTTCATGCATTGACCTGCTCTAGTAATGGTTCATGAATCCGCCCAGTCCACATTCCTTCTCCGTTTCTCTCAGTTTTCCTTTCCTTTCAGATTTATCTTCCTCTCTGCTCTGCTTTATTTTCTCTTTTCGTTCGTCCCTCTTGATATTTGTACGTTGTACTGTTGAGGCAACGAACTGAAATAATAAAAAACAAACAAACAAAACAAACAAACTCTCATTATTATTATTATTATTACGAAACAGTTCTGTCCGCAGATTGAGTATTATTAAATATTAGAATCAACTCGTAAAACTCCAAGTCAATCTCCCATAGACACAAACCTCGTTTATTCAACATAATCATATCCTTTCCAATAAAAACAGTTCATAAAACAGCTTTTTAGGATCGGACCCAGGCCGCATAACCAAGAGAGCTAGTTCCCTTGGCTGCTGTTGGAATATACAAGAATGGGCCTTCCAGATAATGTCTAACAAGGAGAAGTGGCTATAGTTATGAAATGAACACCGGTAACCATGGAGACAGACCACACTCTCATTATAGATACTGGTTATAAATAGACCGAATAAGGAAAATGATCTGATAGCCTATGAAGAGTAAAAGAACTTGAACCAATGACAACAAATACTCGTCCAGCACACGAGTTGTCATAGCAACACAAATAACAGCTGTCCACTAATTTTGTTGTTGGAGATGAAGTAGGAGTTTTTACTGGTTGATTCTAAATACAATAAATGAGGAGGCGGAGGGTTTAAGACCAATAAAAACTATTAATAAAACCGATGGCCCCCGAGGTTTTTATAATTAGTTTTTATTGGTCATAAACCCAAGGCCTCCTCATTTATTGTATACATAAGTACTGCTGTGAGCCGAATTCTGACTTTGGGGCTCATAATATGGCCGAGTTTGGACATTCTCTTAGCAGATCGAAAAGCCGAGCAGGCGAATAAATCGGGCTGATTTTGGAAATGCCTAACGTACATGTACATGCATGTGTACGTGAGCAAGAATTTAAGATTATAAACAACAGCAAACGTGCACTTCCGCTTGATTACAAGCCTTTGTTGGGAGTACGGGCACTATTCCAGAGAGGACTTTATATTTCATTGACTCTCAGACACAGGGGCACTATTCAAGCCATAAGCGATAAGCAAGCCCTATGTAATCACATGCATCTTAGACAATACCTGTTGCTTCTCGTTGGCTGGCGTAGGAATGAGAGAATTGAGGGAATGTATAGCGAATCGCAATCCAATACGAATAGTTCAGATTGTAATACTGTAAGTGCTAAGCACATTATTATTGTTTAAACGTTTACAAATTTGTGTATTGGTCACTATGGATATGTATAACTCTGTAATGTTAATATCAAATGCAAAAACGGAAGAAGAAGAAAAAGAAAAAGGAAAAGGATTCATACAGCATTTGAATACCTGAAGAGTGTGAGTGCTGTGAAGCGTTTTTGTCAGAATGATGTTGGACGGATGTACAATGTATGTGTGTGAAGGTTGTCGCTTTTTCCTGAAATGGCACGCATTGAACGCATAAATTGAGTAAAGGATTAATATACTGTACTTCAAGTGCAGGCATGCACAGTGGGTTGGTCTAAGACCATGATTGAGAAACGAGAGGTACCAGGTTCAAGTCCTGCTTGAATGTGGAAGGATTCTTTCCAACCGTGCTGCGACCCACAGTTAATTGGGAACTCGTCGCCTGGCATCAGTAAAACATGGATGTGGCAAATGGAATTGAGGCCTTTGGCGTTTTGTTGGTGGATCTGATCAATCTTCCCCCACCCCTAGGAGCCGCATCTGACGCCTTATCATGGGGTGGTGGCTGCCCACGGAAGCGGAAAGGTTGTTCTTAACCAGGGAGTTGTACGACTCCTTGTTCTTGACCTGCCCGGAACGCGAACCCGTTGAACAAAACACAACACACACACACACACACTTCAAGTACATGCAGCGGATATCAGTACTTAAAACTACAAGTCGATAGGGGCTGCCGTCTGTCGCGGACAGGAGGCTCTTCCCCTTCACCGGATTCCCCGCCTTGAAACCTTTTCTTGTTCATTTTATTTGCTTACGGCGAAGCCTTGTTTGTGTGCCTTACGTTGCGTTCACTGCAGGCATGGAATCATGTATCACTCGAGCACTTCAATTATCACAAGTTCCCCAGGCTAGTATTCACACAATCAAAAGCATTTTGCAAAGCCTCTCACCACCAGTCGATCAACTGACAGTTGACAGCGCCAACCCTGCTAATTTGGCCTATATTCTGGGTGGAGAGGATACTTTCAGGAGATTTACGCGCTGTTTGGGTATGTACAGTCACTGTCAAGGTAAACGTAATTTGTACATCTATTTATACATGACCTTTCAGGCTGCAATGCTACACCATGTTGAGATTAGGACACATCTGGAACATGAGCGACTGCTTAGCCCCCCCCCCCCCCCCCCAGATACCCTGTCTATTAGGCGTAGACAGCGGCACTGTTACAGTGCCCACATTCATAGTTCGCTGGGATGGTTATCTTGTTCTCGTCTTGAGTGCACTGAACTGATTACTTTCCCTTTCTTACGTCATCTCATAAGTTAGAACCTTCCAAGTCGGATGGCTGTTGGTTTGCGAATTCTAGACGTGATATAGCTAAGAATCAGGTGGTTGAATGTCAATATCACATCTGTTAGTGTTGTGCTAATTGTTGCACGTTCTGACTCACGGGGATCTTGAATTGTATACCGGTTGTATGTTGTCTGATGATTGGTTTTTGCCATGAAACTCTGAGTTACAACAAAAACAGCCCTATATACTTCCTTTTGTGTACCTCTTGTGTATACCGGTATTTGCTAATGTTGCACGTTCTGACTTACCGGGATCTAGCATTGTATACTGGTATTTGCTAATGTTGCACGTTCTGACTCACGGGGATCTTGCATTGTATACCGGTATTTGCTAATGTTGAACGTTCTGACTCACGGGGATCTTGCAATGTATACCGGTATTTGCTAATGTTGGACAGAAATAACAGATAACCTGTAAAGCAGTTTCCTCTGAGACAAAAATGCGATAATACTCATAAAAAGGACACACTTCAGGCTCATTACAAACATCTTGAAAGTTTTTGTCTTCACAAGTATACTTTCAAGCCTTCTCATCAGGTGAAATACAGGCAAGATGTTTGTAATGAGCCTGAAGTGTGTCCTTTTTATGGGTATAACCTGTAAAGCCTTGGCCCTTCTCTGTTTTCATTTGAACATTCTTGTCTTCGGTTTTCCTATCAGCATTCTGTCATCAATTTCATCGGGCATGTTTTGTCTCATGATTCTTGGTTTTTGCAGGCGGTCAGCTTCAGCAATGTCGCCAAAGTCCCCCTTGTAGCGATGCTGGAAAGTGCATCTTTACACGTTCTATACAAGGGAAAGGCTCATACACTTGCAACTGCGATGATGGTCATATTGGAAAGTTTTGTCAGACAGGTACGAAACTTGAATTTGAACTCGAATGTGGAGCCAAAGTAATCATGGATTAAAAAGAAAGGACTAAATGTTACATGTTATGACTAACTGCCCACCAACGTTACCAAATCATATGCAGTCAGCGAGTGCGACAAAAAGGCATAACCGGCCAAGGAGTATTGAGACACTGAGGCAGTCAACGTCAGGTCGTCGAATGTCTCAGTGCTCATTGTCAGTTTGTGCCTTTTTGTCAAACTCGCTGACTGTACATTATTTTGGTTACGTTGGCGGACAGTTAGTTATAACTTGCAACATTTACTCCTTTCTTTTAATCCAGGCCCTTTTCATGCCATGGACGCGTATATGCGTTTTTTTAGTATGAGCCGATTGGCCATGGACGTGTTTACGCGTTCTGCCTAGACAGTACATGTGTATCGCGCGCTATAGACGAGTGTACAAACTGTCATAAATCCGTCAAATTATCTCGGACTGCTAAGGTTGAGACACCGCTGGAAAGGTCTGGCTTGAGCTCAGCTTTCCAGGGATATAAAGTTCTTCGCGATACGACAAAGTATGACCGAGGGGCGACAAATTGAACCGCCAGAATGCGCAAATTTCACTTTTTGGCGATCGATTCAAATTAAATTTTTGATCGCGACTTCGTACGGGCTAGGGGATTTTCCCTAGAGACAGCGCGTGTGCAGTCAGCTTCAAAAAACGCGCTTGAATCTCAGCTTTCCAACGCAGTTTGAATCGTGAAAATCACTTCACAATGAGCAAGAAGACGAAAAAAAGATGAGAGGCAGTAGTTTTGTTATTTTCAGGCATGGTAGGGGGATTTCGAGAGGAGATGGAAGTGGCCCTGGTATGCCTGTCGTGCTGTGAGTCCCTGAAATGGCTTCCTGTGGTCCAGATCTTTCCAACAAGCCATGGATCGTGAAAATCCATCACGGTACAGTGAAATAGCAATAAATTTCCTTCTGAGTTGCGCGTGCAGGTTTGAACAAAATGAGCTCAGCGCGTGAACAATGCGTGGCCAACACAGGAAAACATACTGTCATGGAAAGGGTTAATTAGAGATAATTAGTTTGGTAAATGAGCGAAAGACAAAATGTTACGCGTTATAACTACTTCAGTAACTGTCCACCAACTTAACCAGATCATATACAGTCAGCGAGTGCGACAAAATTGCACAAAACTGACAACTGACTGTATAAGATATGGTTACGTTTGTGGACAGTTAGTCATAGCGCGTAACATTTTATCCTTCTTCGTTTTTTACCAGAGATAATTATTTCCGAGACCATAATAATTATGTTTGCCCAAATGATTGAGTAAATTGAAGAAACGGCTGTTCAGACCCCAAACCGATACTAATATACAGTATTATGACCATATTGAATTTATCACTTAATGACACTGATCCCTTTGAGTTAAAAAAGATCATTTTGTTTGTCAAATTCATTTGTAGATTTTTAAAGAACTCATCACATTTTACATTCGTCAAGTACAAGTACAAACACAAGATATGTAGATGATCAAGTGGCAAATTTTTTTGGTATGTTAGACTGTTTATTCTTTTGGCTGGCCACAGTCTACCATTCTGTGCATCGCTTGACCTAAAATTGACTTTGCTCGGGACATTTCACTTCACGAAAAAACAAAGAATGTGATCCTCAAACTGCCACTATGCACATTATTTCTTTCCCTCTCACACATACACAATATGAGATGCGTTGAGAGAAACAGTGAAATTCAACGGTATTTTGTTTGCCTTTCTTCTGAGTTCTATGCGAACCTCTCACTTTAAAATACTACTACTTGAATGTTGTTCACGATCAGTCACCACCACCACACCAAGATCGTTGACGCTGCAAATTCTATTCAAATGAAATCTCTAAACTTTCGCCCTTGGGGCTTCATCAGGGAGTAAAATAATAATGAAATGAAACTGGCTCTGTAGCAAACTCTAAAAGCGGAGCATTGAGTCATTGAGACATTGGCGCTACAGAAGTGAGGAGAGGAGAGTACGAGGCGTCATACATTAAAAAACGTATTCAATCTTGTTCCCATTTTATATGCCTTTCCTACTTCCCAGTACTGCCATCCTGTTCTGGTAATCCCTGTCAGAACGGTGCAACATGTCAACAGAGAGGATCATCATTTCATTGTCGCTGTCCACCACTGTATATTGGAACACGTTGTGAAGAAAGTAAGTGTGTAAAAGAGAACCCGTTGATGCTGATCTGATCAAGTGGAAAGTTGTACTATTTTTTAGAAATCGTTAGGAAGGGATATTGTTCACAATGCCCATCACTAATGCTTACCTTCGCTCGCATCATAATCAAACAAAATGAAGTTGTCTCTTCCATAGAAATTTCACAATCCATCCTCGGTGCACAAAGAAGCATCAGTAAATGCTCCTAACGTCGTTGGTAGATAACGTGAGATTACTACCACGAGCAATTTCAAACGGTTCCCAAAATCAGGGTTGGCTGGTGCTTCCAACTCTCTGATAATCTGATAGGCCGCTTGCGGGGGGGGGGGGGGGGGGGTGGGGGGGGTGTCGGTGATTGGTTGCAACATATCCAATTGGCATCTTATCATTATCCAACTTCTAGTAGGTTGTGAGTTGCCTGGGTGATACACTCGAGACCCTGTATGTGACAATGATGTCCAAGTAACAGTTTATCATTTTCCCATTGTGTCTTCACACCATCCTGTCGGTCCAGTTCCACTTGCATACAAACGATTTCCAAGCAGCTTTTCTTTCTTATGCACAATGTTTCAGTTTTTTACGATGTCGAAGTGGAAACTGTCTTGCACGAGACAACAATGAACACACTGTACAAGCGTCTATCATTACATGCGTAAGGAAGGGAGGTATTACCAAGTCAAAAGATGACTTCTACAGAGTACGTAGATGTATATGCTTTCGGTCACCGTTGTACGGTTGTTGCCAATAATCGTAAAACGTAGAATGATTCTTAAATGATTTTGGTAGCTGTCATTGCTTGGTTTAGGCACCAAAATGCACTGATAAACACGGCTAGGAAAGCGATTAGGAAAACTCTTGGGATTTAGATGATGCGTGGCGATGAATGGGGATAGTCAGTGCTCCTGAAAAAGCAAATGTAACCCGATCGAGTCTTATACAAAACGTGATTTTTGTGTTGTTTGCTCTCCAGAGTGGTTGGATGTAGCTAAGTTTAAACAGCAATCCAACACATTACATCAAGTCAGTGAGGATGTTTCACACCTGAAACATGACCTACGTGCTGGAAGACGAGATGATATCAATCGTATCGATTCATATCTTCACCAACTGGGTGCAAAGATCCTTACTAATGTTAACTCCACTATGAATCAGTTGTCATCTCAGGTTGCCGCCCTGGTGAGTTCATAATATGGCGGATCGCTAGTGCAACATGTGTTTACCCAGCTATAAGTAACTTTGCCATGACTGAACCAGAGTTGGTGTAAATAGCCTCTTTTCCCCTACAAGATAGTAAATGCTTTATGAGTGCATGTAATCTACCAGTATACAATCCAAACAATGACATCCTGAGGAGTGTGCCTGAAATATTGATGTATATTTATCAGCACTCGTCCGAAGCCTAGAGATTGGCACCCACAGTGCAAGCATTCAGCCACAAAAGGTGGAAGGTGCATCATTTTTATGATAATAAATCTTAATGATGTTAGGTGAATTGATAGTAAAGAAAAAAAGGACCAAGAAACTACAAGTTACACTATAGTGTCCACTACCACCACCAGTTACCAAACAATCAGCTCATGCGATAACATTGCACGACACTGACCGACGGTGCTGATGTTCTACAACTAACTGGCTAACAGCTCAAGCACATCTTGGATGCGCACTCCCACTGCTTCCCAAGTTTGAAGGTTCTAAGTTATAGAAATAACATGAGGAGGGGAAGGTGAGCGCAACCAAGACAAGCACAAGCTGAAAGTCTCAGCTGTGAAGGAGGTTGGCGGATGTTCATGCATGTCGATGACGATACTGGCAAGACCTCTGGACAATACGGTCAAACCCCGGTTCAAGGACGCAAGGAACATTCCATACAACTTGTGTGGCTCAAAGACGCAAAGATCAATAGAATTAAAAAGGGAAGCTATGCGAAAAATAATCATGCAAAACCGAATGCCTCAGTAAAACAGCACTGTACTTCGACTGTGTCTTTCCAGTAGCGTCATCGACATGCATGAACATCCGCCAACGTCCTTCACAGCTGAGACGTTCAGCTCGTGCTTGTCTTGGTTGCGCTCACCTTCCCCTCCACATGTTATTTCTATAATTTAGAACCTTCCGAGTTGGAAGGCTGTTGGAGTGCGCTTCCAAGATGTGCTAGAGCTGTTAGCCAGTTTGTTGTAGGACGTCAGTACCGTCGGTTAGTGTCGCGCAATATTATCCCATGAGCTGGTCGTTTAGTATAACTGGTGGTGTTAGTGGACATTATTGCGTAATTTGTAGTTTCTTGGTCATTTTTTCTTTACTATAAAGTATCCTTGAGTCTCCATTCGGGTTCAGTCCGTCATTGGAAACACAAGAGGATTAGAGGAAACCACGACCGAAGGAACTCAACTACCAACCCACTTCCTTATGCAGGATAGCTGCCGATGCAAGGATTGCATTCGTTTGCAATTCTAACAGAGAGCAGTGGCTTGTATATACATGTAACCGGGGATGTGTATTTTAAAACAATTGTAGACCTTCGGTTTGACAGCAATGTTCTACAACTGAGTTGTTATCCTTGTGATCGCACACTTCATTCCCTTCAGCCGCTGGTACAAATGATTCCAGTGAGACGAAACGGGGGAGCCCCCACACAGTCATAATTATTATATAGTTTTGTGCATTTTGAAAAGCAAATCAAATTGGTGATGTTTAGAAATGTAATTATAGCCTCTTCTTTAAATATGATTTAAGTTACAGTGTTGATTGTTCTTGTTGGGATTTACCACAGAATGAAAGGCTGAACGAAGTCCAGGAAAATCAAGAAGGTAAAATGCAATTATTTATTAACTTAATATTGAACGGAATATTGAATTTGACATGCCAAACATTTTACAGATTTTTACAAGGGCCCTACCACTGCACCTGTATGATTCCCATGACCCTCTAATATATCATGTGATTGCCCAAAGAACCAGACACAGTGACAAAATGCCTCGTGGCTGGCTGATGACAATAGTCAACTGAGTACTCCAATATGATATCTACCATATTCGTCCTAGAGAGGGATGCCTCGGCGCCACGCATGCCTGTCCCAGTGTGGAAACACTAATACATGTAGTGCGAAATATCCTATCTCCACACTGCCTACCCGGGCGCAACACTGCCTTTTCTTCGCCTGCTCGTGGGGCGGCGGTACGTACGTAGGTAGGTACTTCGGAAAGCCAGCGGTGGCAGGGTGGGGGTTGGGACAGGAGCACTGCAACTATCAACTTGACCGACATACTTTCATTCCGGGATTTTTCCATGCCAAGACGAGGCATAAGTAGAGGTAGGTGAGAGAGAAGACCTTTCCAAGAGGCATTAGCGCCCAAACGCGATCGATTTGAGTGGGAAGACAACGTTTGAATTTCACCGAATGAGCCCTGATCATGTCATGAGTGATTAGCTAGCAGGCGCAATGCAGCGAAGTTGTACCAGGTTCATTTTCGAGAATTTTCAATTGTAGAGGAGGTTATTGGCAATTTTCTCCGAACATCGTGATATATCCCGTGTTCTGTTCCCCTTCAATGATCCGGACTTTAAGGGGGCAGCCTACCCATAAATTTCATATGGCATTCAATTGACCGTAACTTTGGTGTTTCTCAATGGATTTGAGTGAAATTCTGACCACACACTCCTGCCACTATGCTGGCCCTCAGGACATGATTTACAAGTTCTTGCGCCTCACTGACAGGCTTTCCAGGCCGGAAAAACTCAAATTTCCGGCATAGTGCCACGGTGTGATAGCCACCCAGGAGCCAAACAAATGCATTTACAATTTTTTCACATTTTCGTGCTCATTCTGTTCGTGCGCGGGACTCAAAACCTAAAACAAGTCCAGAAGCAGCCATGGGTGGTGGGGTAGAGCCCCTCAACGAGGCCCTGGAATCTGTCACAACGGAACGAGTGGGCGTTCTCTCACACACTCCCACACACCGAAGTCAATTTTTGAATTTTTTTAGGTTTAGCACGTGCTACGAGGTCGTACCTTTGATACAACATCCAGTGCTGGGACCTCCACAGCAATCCATTTCCACAGCGCTGCACACCGTATCCTGGATACCCTCAGAAACCGGCAAAGACTACCACTCATGTTTCACTACTGCCTAGTACTGAATCCTACCTGACTTCTTGACACGACTCAAACTTGCCAAAGTCACTAAATCAACGTCAACTACAATAATCAAGCCACATATCTGCAACGTCACGAGGGTGCTGGCAAAAGTCCTGCTGCATGGCGGCCGGCTTCGCCCGCCGCCGTGCAGCCCAATACGTTGCTCAAAAACCTGATTTTTTGGACTTGGAGCAAAATTCTGCACACTTTCACGTGTTTCCATGATACGACAAGTTGCGCACGGTCTGCTCACATTCAAATACAGTGCTGCCAACAAATGACAGCGTGCAACAAAAAAATCTTTCCTTGCAAGGGCACATTTTCGGCCATAACTCTTGAACGGCCGGTCAGATCGGGACACAATTTTCAGAGAATTTGCAGCTATTCATGCTCTTTCAACTGACGTAGCACTCAATATGAATTTACAAATTCGATTTTTACGCGAATTTTTGGGTAGTCTGCCACCTTAAGTCAAGTCAAATGTTGTGGATATGTTGTACGGTTAAATTATTCTCAAGACGTATTCATGACGTGTCAGTGTTCCAGAATGTAGAATCTGCTATACTGTGATGCTACTACTTCAAACAAGTAGTGAGTTAAAGATGGAGAGTGATGTAGATAGCTGCTGTTATATTATTATGGAGAGTAAAGCTGCTTAGGGCGGGCACGAGGCTCATTTGTATAGGGCTTGAACGTGATGACGTCAAAAACGGCCAGGGAGTACTAAGTTGACATCAGATTTATATTTTGGATCCACTAAGGTTGGACTTTGCTATTGCCTCAGTATGTGGGTGCATAGCAACCCACTCATGTCGTATGCAGGGGTGATTTTTACTTCGCCACCAGTTGTAACCCCGCCCCCAGTAGCCAAATCAGTCAATTTCACTGGTTACATCACCTTGCTGTGAGTAAGACGGCTTGAAATGCGCTTGGATCCATACAAAAACTGGATCCAAGTGGATCCAATTTTTGAATTTTTGAAATTATTACGTAATGCCCCCCCCCCCCCTAGCCTGCGCTGTCATATTATTGGGCAACGATCCCGTTTGACTTTGCGAAGTAAAACATAAGAATATAAAATACAAACTCTCATGCTGCGCAAGCTCGCGGTAACGACGATACGACAGATCGGCATAATTATATTGTTGGCTTGTCTCACTAGCATTGATTCCTTCTTTGAGCCCCTACTCTTCATATTGTTGTGTTGTGCTGTTACTTCTCTCCTCTCTTCTTACGACTAGATTGTGTCTTCAGTAAAACATTGTGGACTTCGTTGGCACAGTTATCCTTTAATGACCATTTTACTGTTCTGATTCCGAATACTGTAGCATCATTTCTCTGCCAGAGAACCGACTCTGGTCCTTCAGCTGTATTCAATGGCAGAACAATGACAACAAGATTCACTGCATACTGTGATCGAGAGACTGATGGTGGTGGCTGGACTGTGTTTCAGAGAAGACAGGATGGCTCCGTGGACTTTTACCGTGACTGGAATGCATACAAGCGAGGATTCGGATCAGCGTCGGGAGAGTTCTGGTTGGGTCTAGATACACTACACTATCTGACGTCACAAGCTGATAGTACGTATGAATTACGTGTTGGTATGGTGTTCAATACAACTGGAGTGAAGCATTATGCCAAGTGGTCAACATTCCGTGTTGAAGGTGAAGCTAACAATTACAAATTACACGTTTCAGGATTCGCAAGCCCGACATTGACAGACAGCATGAAATTCCACAATGGACAACAGTTCAGCACTCGAGACCGTGACCATGACTCATTTAGTGGTTTTGACTGTTCCAATGCATTCAAGGGTGGTTGGTGGTATAAAAACTGTCACGGTGTCAATGTCAATGGATTGTATGGACGTAGTGATCGAGACGCAACTGGTGTAGTGTACAATCAAGGCGGGTTCAAAAGTTTGAAGTTTGTGGAAATGAAGCTAAGAAGGCGTGGATAAAACCCAACTCCCTGCGAGATTCACCACGCACACTGTGCTCATTTGCATCCAAATGCAACATTCTGCAATTTGAAACCTTTCCACTGGTTTCCTCTTTTCATGATGGCTTTTGGGAAGTTTTGGCTATCTTTGAAAATATGTTCTACCTCTTTCCGACCATACATTTCTTTTGCAGGACAATCAACCTGCCATTCGATTCTTAATCGCTGGGTTCCAAAAAGCCAGTAATGCTTTTGCCTAACATAATATTAATACACACATGCACTAAGGGTGTGTTTACCGTTTCAGGGCATTGCGCGCATCGTCATAACCAGCTCCTCCGCAACCACACAACACATTGATTTCCTAGGAGCGCTTTCGTTTTATACTTCTTATCAGCGAGCCATCGTGGTTACAAGAATACAATCACTCTTTCTGATATACTGTACTTTTCCTGTCTACTACAATCACCCGCATTCTCTCACTAACCATCTGAACATTAACCACCTAGCGCTATCCACTTCACCTGTTTTTGTTTTGCGTGACTAATTGCTTAAACCACTGTAGAATTACTCACGAGCATAAGCTGAAGTTCAATTGACGGGTAGTCACAATATCCAACATATCTGTAACTTGCATAATAGCTAACAATCGTTTCCGGGTGTCTCTACAAGTACATCTTTTACTTATAATTATGTGCGGCTCCTACTTTTATTACGTAAAAGACACAGCGGCTAGATAGAGCCTACTGTAGAGAAATTGAGTGGTTTAGTAACAGGTCTAATGCGTTGCTAGAACTGCGGTGAGAGCAGGGACGCAAATGTGTAGCCTGTGCTGGTGAGGTACCGTCACCATCATGTGAACTAGGAAAGGATTACGACGCAGTCAGAGTCTTTTCAGCGGTACATTTCATCTCATGTATGTATACAACCATTGTGTCGTATCCGGACGGCCCGGGGTTAGACCCCAAGGCTGCGGTCGTCGACATGAACTAACTTACTAATAAACCTTCACATTACCAGGCCGTGCAGTGGTGGCCACTTGGAGAGAGTCCACCAACAGAATTACTCTTACGCACGCACGCACACATACCTAGACATATTCTCACACACACACTCAGGCATATACAGACACGTACACTCACACCAGCGTTCAGCTCAGGTTGACTCACATCTTGAAAGGAGCTAACTGATACTTAGTTCAAGAGCCGATCTTGAAAGCACAAGGCAAGAGAGACGGAAGCCGAAACTTCCGCCTGAAGGTGGAAAGCAAGAGAGCGAGTGAAAAGCAAGGAGAAGGCAATATGATCTAGTTGCGGCCATGGAAGTCCATGGCCACGAGATTGCTGGTCCCGCATGCAATAGCGTATCACCGTAATAAATATGCGTACGAACTGTTGCGGGAGCCATGTGGGGAAGTATAAAATAAAGAAGATTATGAACCCGTTTACGGGAGATAGATAAATAATAAAACAACTAAATAAGGCATACTTGTCCCGTAGAGGCCTAAAAGGCACGTGCCAATCGTATGGATACGACATATCCCCCCGCTTACACGGAAAAGAACACGTCCTCGTGTTATAAGTAACGTAATAAATTAAACTAAGATTATGGCTAACAATTTAACTAAACGAGTGCAGGTCACAATTTGAGTTCCGATCAAAAACTGTTCAAAGACTAGCTGTAATATTGGCCACAACCAATCCAGTCAATACCACTGAAATCCTTACTCGTGCCAGACGGGACTCCCAAACAGCTGAGGTGGATGGCGGGAACGCGGGGTTCGCCTTTCCATCACGCCAACTGGCGGAGCACTGTCGAATACCCGAGCGGTGTCCTCCTCGTCTCGGGCGGCGGCATCAGTGGCATCAGGCTGGTAGGACGGAGTCAGGGTGGATGCCATGGGCTGCGGTGGGTCCGACTCATCTTGTTCGTGAACCTCCTGCAGCCGACTCGGTCGATGATGACAACCTTTCAGCCGGTTGACGTGCACTATCAGCCGACGTGCCGTGGGCTCGGACAGCTTGATGCGGTAGGTGACGGCGGAGAGCTTCTCCTCGACTAGGTACGGTCCGTGCCACAGTCTAGAAAACTTGGCGGTTGTACCCGTCGGAATGGCCGGCACCAGAAGCCACACTGCATCACCAGCTGCAAACACGGCCTTAGCGTTATGATCACGGATATGCGCTTGATAGCGGTGCACGTTGTCCAAGTGCTCCCGAACCTGCGCATGAGCGTCCTCCAGGCGTCAGGCGGAGAGCACTCACGAATTCCTGCTGGGACGCTACTGCGGATGCTGCTCCTGGCGGTAATCCAAATGCCAAGTCTTGAGGTAGGCATAGCTCCCGACCAAAGAGCAGATAGCTTGGACTGTAGCGGGTACTAGTCTGCGGCGTCGAGCGGTATCCCATCAAGAAGGCTGGCAACTTGATGTCCCAATCTCGATGATTCCGGCAGACATAGTGCGCCAGGCCACGCTCAAGCGTCTGGTTGAATCTCTCAACCAGACCGTCACTCTGTGGATGGTACGCAGTTGTCCTGGTCTTATCTATGCCAAGCAGAAAGCAAACACTGCGAAACAGAGAGCCATCAAAGTTTTTGCCCTGATCGGTATGCAACCGATCAGGAGCACCAAAACGTGACACAAACTCATTAACAAACACCAAAGCAATAGTGGAAGCATCCATTCTCGAAAGCGGAAAAGCTTCCACCCATTTAGTGAAATAGTCAACTACAACCAAAATATGGCGGTTCCCTTCCGCTGTCTCCGGCAAATTGGGGATCAAATCCATAGCTACTCGCTCAAAAGGATACCCCGTCCAGGAAGACTGCATTGGAGCGCCAGACCCTCTGCCAACGGGACGCTTCAACTGGCTACAGGAAGAACAACTTGCAACCCAATCCAAGACACCTTTCTTCATGCCTACCCAGTGAAATTGTTGCGTCAGTTTCTTCTGCAGGCGTGTAGAACCCGTATGTCCCCCCTGGTCATGATACTCTTGCAAAACCAATGAACGTAAATGCCGGGGAACAACAACTTGCAAGATAGACGGCTTACCGGGCAAGGGTCCTCCCAACGACGGCACAACACCCCCTCATGATGAACCAGCATTTCATGATTTTTCCACAAAATACGTACCTCAGGACTGCTACCCATCATGTCCTGTGGGCAAGGCGGAGAGTCCATACCTAGCCAGGACACTACTTGGGCGAGATCTCGGTCCTTCTCCTGTTCCGTTTCCCATCTTGACCACGGCCAGTTGAAACGGCGGATGAGGGGTGTGGGGATGTTGCCAACGTCGTTGTTCACGGCCCCTACGAACAGCGTCGCCGAAGCGTCAGGGCGGCGTGACAATGCATCAGCGTTAGCGTGCGATCGACCTGCCCTGTACAATATGGTGAACTCAAATTCAGACAAAAATTCCAGCCAGCGAGCCACAATCGCCGGTGGATTTTTGAAATTAGCCAAGTGTTCTAGAGAACGATGATCAGTACGAATCACAAATTGTTTACCAAGCAGGTAGCAACGAAAATGTCGCACAGCCCACACCAAACCCAACAATTCCTTTTTCGTGGATGCGTACCGTGTTTCTGTATCGGCCAGAAGTCGACTAGCATACGCTATCGGCCGTTCCAGACCTTCCTGAACCTGAGACAGCACTGCTCCTAACCCTAGTCCACTAGCATCTACGTCTACCAGAAATGGTGATGCATCTTGCCCAAACCTGGGGTAAGCTAGTACTGGGGCGGTTGTCAACACTGTCTTCAGATTCAGGAAAGCGGATTCACAGTCAGGAGTCCACAAAAACACTTGGCCAGTTTTCGTCAGGCTGTACAAGGGGCGGGCAATGGTGGCAAAATCTTGGGCAAACCGCCTATAATACCCACAGAATCCCAAGAAACCACGCACTTCACCAACTGCTTCAGGGGTAGGCCAGTTTCTGACTTTCTCGATCTTACCCGGGTCGGTCCTAACCCCCTCCCGGGTTACAATGTGGCCCAGGAACTCAACACTTGTGCGGAACAAGAAACACTTACTGGGCTTCAACCACAGATCTGCCTTCAAGAGGCGGTCAAAGACTTTCACTTTAGATTTCAGTTTCAACACTCCATAATCCGAACCCACAGTACCGATTGAGGCGGGAGAGGTAGAGAAGAACATTCGCCCTTGTCCCGAAGAAATTGTGCAAGGAATGTGGGATAATACGTCCCGGCCAACAATACAATCACGCGGCAACCCCTTAACAATTCTTACCCGGTGCCAACAGGTTGCATCTCCGAGTTCCAACTGAACAATTGCTGACGCCACGGCTTCTAGTGGTTGCCCGTTGGGGCCAATCAACTTCGTGCCTTGGTCAGAGGTTTCCTTTTCCAGCTCCTTAGGTAGGCGGTCGGCAAAATCCTCTGACAACAATGTAGCGGCGGATCCTGTATCAATCACAGCGTCCACTGGGCATCCATTCACCGCTCCAGGCACCAACATGTCCGCACGCTCACTCGCATGTTCAATGAAGACAGAACACATAGATCAGGCTATTGTTTTCTGTAGCCGTCTAAGTTTTTGCAGATACTGACTTCAACCCCAGGGTTCCACTTCCGGAGAAAATCTACAAAAGCAGATGCAAACGACCTCCCTTCTTTTGTTAATAATGACAACTCTCGGAGTAAGTACTCCCACAAACTGAGAACCCGCAGAACAACGGCACTAGACTAGAGCTATCCGATCTCTAAAGAGCGGTAATAGCATCAGCTACATCCCAGAGGCCAATTCATAGGTTTCTTCTGGGAACTCGCAAGGCCTAGGACTCAGCAACAATCAGTCTGCAATCAGCCAAAAGCACAGAGCTAGCAAGCGCTGCAAATGCGTCAATTTGCAACAAATACAAACTGGCGTATTTTTCCAATTCTTCCTTACCGACAAGGTCAGGGGACCAGCGAGGATCGCACTGTAGGGGCGTCGATTCCACTCCCTCCGATGGGGCGGTAGTAACCCTACAGCAATGGCTTCAGCTACAATAGCTGCACGAGCAGGAGCAGCTGCTGAGACAGCGCAGGAGGTAACAGCAAGTTTCACAGCACCTGCTGAACCATAAGGTCACAACACACAAAACCACAAAAAAAAAACACAAACCACAAGGACAGCAGGAAAACTGCTGCCACTGTGCCAGCTTCGTCATACAGGTCAAATTCTCCATTTACGCCATGATCAAACCCTTGACTTGGCGGCGCTCCACATCTGTTTCCAGAATGCGAATGTCCATACCAAGTGACACAAACCAAAATAATGGATTTACGACGCCACGTGGAATTTTCGTCAAACTTACGATCACGAGAAACAGCCCAAGAACAACCATACCTTCTTCTTGATATCCTTGAGATGTCGTAGAAGTCCGGTCATTCGCGGATCGGGCAGCGGAAGCTCCATACTGCCCGTCCATTCGAACAACCGGGGCATCACAATGTCATACTCATCAATGTCTCTCTCGTTGACAGCACACAAGGTGTCGGATCCTGTTCACTGCGCCAAATGTCGTATCCGGTCGGCCCCGGGGTTAGACCCCAAGGCTGCGGTCGTCGACATGAACTAACTTACTAATAAACCTTCCCATCACAAGGCCGTGCAGTGGTGGCCACTTGGAGAGAGTCCACCAACAGAATTACTCTTACGCACGCACACACATATACCTAGACATACTCTCACACACACACTCAGGCATATACAGACACGTACACTCACACCAGCG